CCTCTGTCTCCTGGCATCTCTGACTTATTTCAAAACCTGGCTCAAGCTCCCACCTTCAACGTGAAGCTTTTTCCTGGTTACAGGAAAGAAAGGAGAGAGGAGGACAGGCAGGAAGGAAGGAAGGAGGAAGAAAGAAGGGAAGGAGGGAAAGAGGGAATAAGAGGGGCAGCTAGGTGGCGCAGTGAATAGAGCTCTGGCCTTGGAGTCAAGGGGACCTGAGTTCAAATCCAGCCTCAGACACTTAACACTTGCTAGCTGTGTGACCCTGGGCAAGTCACTTAATCCTAATTGCCTCACCCTTCCCCAAAAAGAAAATTAAAATAAAAAGAAAAAAAAAGAATAATGAAAGAGGGAATAAGGAAGGAGGTAGGACGGGAGGGAGGGAGTAAAGGAAGGAGGAAGAAGGAAGAAGGGGGAAAGAAGGAGGAAGAAAGAAGAAAAGGAGGGAGGGAATAAGGAAGGAGGAGGAGGGAAGGGAAGGAGGGAGTGAAAGAAGAAGGGAGAGAGGAAGGAAGAAAGAAGGGAGGGAGTGAAGGAAGGAGGAAGAAGGCAAGGAAAGGTAAAGGAGGAAGGAAGGAAGAAAACAAGCATTATTAAGAGCCTACTATATGCTAGGTACTATGCTAAGCACTCTACAAATATTATCTCATTTATCTTTACAACAAGCCTCAGGGGTAGGTGCTATTATGATCCCCACTTTACAATTGAGGAAACTGAGGAAAATACGTTTAAGTGACTTGTCCCTAGTCATACAGCTAGTAAGAAGTACTTGGGGTTGGATTTGAATTCCCGTCTTCCTCACTCCAGGCTCAGCACTCTATCCACTGTGTCCCCCAGTTACCAACGGTGCTATCCATCCCCTAAAATGCCTTTCTATTCTATATATATATATATATACATATATATATATATGTGTGTGTGTGTGTGTGTGTGTGTGTGTGTGTGTGTGTGTGTGTGTGTGTTACATTATATATGTGTTACATATGTTATACTGTATATACTTATATATACTTTTTTTTTTTGCTGAGGCAATTGGGGTTAAGTGACTTGCCCAGGGTTACACAGCTAGTAAGTGTCATATGCCTGAGGCCAGATTCGAACTGAGGTCCTCCTGACTCCAGGGCCGGTGTTCTATCCACTGCGCCACCTAGCCACCTCTATATACTGCTATATACATGTTGTCTCCCTCCATTAGAATGTAAGCTCCTTGAAGGCAGGGACTATTTCACTTTTGCCGTTGTATCCCCGGCACTTTCGCAGAGTGAGGGGCACATAACAGTCACTTAATAAATGCTTGTCGATTGATGGGCTGATGGACTAACACCTGCTCTGCACTTGGCCCTTGCCTGGGCTACGTTACACTGAGCAGGAGACAGATGGATCAGCCGCGGCCCTGGCCCTCAGAGATCTGAGTGGAACCAAGACCTTCCTTGTGGGAAGGAATATTCAGCAAGTTCCAGAATCCCAGAATCTGAAAACAGAAAGGGTCCCTAGCAGCCTTTCGTCCAATCCTAAATGCCAAAGGAATCCCCACTAGGACACACCCAATACATGGTTTTACAGCCTCTGTCTGAAGACCTTGAAGGAAGGAGAACCCACCTCTCAAGGCTAGTCATGCCCTTTCTGGAAACATCTAGTTGTTAAGAGAGTGAGGTCAAGGCCTAGTTGTCCTAACTCCTCTCTTACTGATACTGGGTCTGACAAGCATTTATGGCCCAAGGGCCATATTTCCAACTCTTTATCTCTCCCTTGAAACTGGCCACCATCCAGGAAGGGTCAAAGGTCTCTTGGGAAGCCAGACCAGGATGCCAACAAGTGCCACCACCCAGAGAAACTCTATATAGCCATGGCCTCTCCCTCCCATCTCTTGCCCTGCCCCCCAAGACAGAACCTTGGAACCAGAGAGAATAAGCACGCCAGAGATCCACCCAAAGGCTTATCTTGGAAACTAAATGACCTTGGACCCTGGATTGGCCCATTGGAATTCATCCTTTATTGTCTTCCTGGTCAGTCCTGGACCTCCTCTCCTCCCAAATCTGCTTTAAGTTTCACCTCTTCAAAATCAAGAACAAAAACAAAAAAAAAGTTTCACCTCTTCCAGGAAGCCATAGATTGAAAGCTGGAATGGAACTTGGAGGAAGGCTTGTCAAGGAAGAGAACGAGGCTGGGAGAGGTTAATTTACTTGTCCAATTGCACAGTTAGTCAGTGACAGCACTGGGATTTGAATGGAGGTCATCTGATGCTTTTGGAGAAGCTAGGTGGTGCAGTGGATAGAGTATCAGCCCTGGAGTCAGGAGGATCTGAGTTCAAGTCTGGCCTTAGACACTTACTAGCTGTGTGACCCTGGGCAAATCATTTAACCCTGATTGCCACCTACCCCCACAAAAAAAAAAATCCGATGTTCTTTTTCACTAAGTATTTTCCTTCTCCCCAAAGGATACCAGTACTTCCTTCTACTGACTCATGCTGAGGTATCTTAGAAACAACAGTGAATAAGAAAATGTGTATTTTTTTAAAAGAAAAACTAGAAGAAGAACACTGCAGGGAGGGGACAGAGAAGAGAGAAAAAGGGAAAAATGGATTTGAAATCAGAAAACCTAGTTTGAATTCTCAATCTAAACCTACTTGTATGACCCTGGACAAGTCCTTCTATCTCAATGTATCTCAGTTTTCTCCTCTCTGAAATGAGGGGAGTGTATGTCTGCTCTTTTTTTTTTTTTTAAGGCAATCAGGATTAAGTGACTCCAGGGTCACATAGCTCATAAGTGTCTAAGGCCAAATTTGGACTCAGGTCTTCCTGACTCTAGGTTTGGCGCTATATTTACTACACCACTTAGCTGCCCCATGTCCACTCTTTTTTTAAAAAATTTAATTTTTTTAATGAACAGGCATTTAATTTTCTCCTTCTTATCCCCCTCCCCCATTTTTGGGGAGGAAGGAAAAACAAAACCCTTTAGAAATGAAGGGATTGTACCACAAAATCTGTACATTTCTTTTTAGCTCCAAAACCTATGATTCATCACATTAACCCCAGACCTCAGTCCCAACCCCAGACCACAGCCCTTAGCCCTGACCCTGATTGTGTCTTGACTCCAAGCCCTCAGAATCTCTCTCTCTCTCTCTCTCTGTCTCTCTCTCTCTCCCGCTCTCCCTCTCTCTCTAAGCCATAAGACTTTGGATAGCTCATTGTGGCCTTTACCTTTTGCTAAAGCTTACAACAGGTTGGCAACCCCAACCTGGTTTCTCAAGGACAAAGCCCTGCATTTATGGAGACATCATTCCAGCCACCAGAGGTTGCTGCTCAACCAGAGTGAGTACCAGGCCAAATTTCACATACCTGGCCAAAATTTCACGGACCATCTCGCCCTGCCTTGCCTGGCCCACCTCACCTCACCAAGTCCAAGGAGAGAGCCTAGCTACAGGCCTATATGTTTACTAGTGAAGACTGAGGCCAGGAGAGGGCATGAAGGGTATGGGGGGATGAGTATGGATTTAGGAGCAGCTGGGCCATGCTGATAAGCTACTGCCCAGAAGACAAGAAGGAATTCCAAGAACCCTTTGCCCCTTCTGGCCCCCACTGAAAGAGAAGCCTCAGTTTCTTCATCTTTAAATGGGCAAATCCTACTAGATGACTTTTAAGGTCCCTTTCAACACTGACATTGTGTGTTCTTTGTTCTAAGGTTTTTCCAGTTTTTAGATTTTTTTTAAGCTCTGACATTGTGTGTTCTTTGTTCTAGAGTCCTTTCCAGCTCATTAAATAATTTTTTAATTTTTTTCATGTTCTGCCATTCTGTGTTTTTTGTTCTAGAGTCCTTTC